GAGGGACTTGGCCTGGTGGCTGGGACTGGGGGGCCCCAGGAGAGCTTGAGTGGTGAGAAGCAGGGACCCAGAAGTTGTCTGTGATGTGAGTCCCTGTCCCCAGTCCACGTGTACACACACACACACACACACACACACACCTGCCTGAGCCCTGGCTGGCGAGCCTGGCTTGCTCTGAGTTATCTGATGTTTTCCCTGCAGGCATAGACCTCCCACCAGCCCCTGGTCGCTGTCCTCCAGTTTCTAACAGCCTCGAGGGGGTGGGGCGAGAGGCAAGGGACAAGGGGCGGCTGGCCAGAGCTCGCACTGGGTGGGCTGCAGTTTTGAAGGGTTTTCCACGAGGAAACCCCAGCTCTGGGGGCGAGGTGCAGCCACAGGTGTTGGACCTATGGCTGCACATTCTGGGGGAGACCTTGAACTCCAGGAATCAGGATTTGCAGCTCAGAAATGAGGAGCGGCACTGGCTGGGCTGGCCGGAGCTGGGGTTCAGGACGTGGCTGTGCGCCACCCCCAGCCCGCCCTCCTCCTCCTCCTCCTCCTCGCTCACCCAACATCGCCACCACATTTGGAAGGAAGGCGAAGGGAGCTTATTTATAAAAGTCACACTTGGGGAAGGAGCTGGCGTGCTTCCTCCGTGCTCCGCGGGCCGGGCTCAGCCCTCCAGCCTCCTCCTGCCCCCGCCTGCCTCTCTCTCTGAGGTTCCTTTCCATTCTGCAGGGGGAGAGTGAAGAGGGCTGTGGGAGCGGGGCCAGTGTGGGGCTTCAGCCCCTGAGACCAAGGCCTCAGGTCAGAGAGGCCTTCCTGGGGGTGCAGGGAAGCCACACAGCCCCGGGTGGGGTGGGCACTTTCAGGGTAGGATGTCCCCTTACACTTAGAAGCCTCCCTGATTTTCTTTCTGGGGCTTTACTGGAGCTGCTCCACACCCCTCCTCCGGTCCAGAAAGGAGTTCACCTGCATGCCTGGCAGGCTTCCTGGAGGAGGAAAACTTGGGATGGTCCCAAGGAGGAGGAGGAGCCCAAGCCGAGGGGATGGAGGATGCCCCTGAGGTCCAGAAAGGGGCCCGGCTCCCCCCCTCCCCACGCCTCTCAGGGCAGGTCAAGAGGCCGCAGTGGGGGGCAGCACCAGGCAGGTCTGGTCGGTTCTGCACCTGTCCAGTGGAGCCTCGCAGAGCAGGCACGGGGCAGGGTCTCCCGACACCCCCCTCTCCTTCCCCGCGGCTTCCCAGAATGAAGTAGGATCTGGCTGCGGAGAGACGGTGCCATTGGGGACCGGCTGGTCTCACCGCCTAGCCTACGGATCAGAAAAGCCAGGTTCAGAAAGGGCCACGGGTTCATCTGAGGTCACACAGCACAGCCCGGTGCCTTTTCCCCGGACCCGAAGCTGCCGCCCCCATGCTCTTGGGACCTTGCGAAGGGGCAGCCTGTGCTAAGCAGGGAGCTGATGTAGCAGGCCTGGTGGGGGGTGGGGGTGGGGGTGAGGGCTTTGAGCGCCCTCCTTCCTGGAGGCCCAGCCCCTGTATCAGCCCTGGGCCTCTGCACTTGATATTGACTTGGGTTAGCCATTAAAAAGAGGAAGGGAAAAAAACCGCCCTGGAGGCAGACAACAGCCACTCGGCTTGGCAGTGATGAATCAACCCAGCCGGCAGAGGCTGGCCTGCCGCCATCGCCGGGCCTGGGGGAGGAATCAGACTCTGGCTTCCAGGAAAGAGGGTGTCCTGGAATCCACCGGGAGCTCAGGGGGCGCCTCCTCCTTCCTGGTGGTCTCTGCAGTGGCCCGACCGCCCAGGCTGGAGGGGATGTGGCCAGAGGAGGAGACTAAGTCAGCCGGCCTCCCCCCCGGATTGCCCTTTAAAAGCACCTGTTGGTACTTAAAAAAAAATTAGCCCATTAGCGGGCGTCGTGTGGCACAGTGGGTTAAGCCACCCCTTGGGGACACCCACATGTCTGGTTCGAGTCCCAGCTACTCTGCTTCCCACCCAGCTTCCTGCTGATGTGTCGGGGAAGCATCCCATGACGGCCTGAGTCCTTGGGTCCCTGCCACCCACGTGGGAGACCCGGATGGAGTTCCTGGCTCCAAGCTCGGACCTGGCCCAGCCCCCAGCTGCTGTGGCTTTTTGGGGGAGTGAATCAGCAGATGGGAGATTTCTGTGTCTCTCTGCTTTGCAGATAAAATGAAAATAAATAAAAATTTAAAAGAAGTGGAAGCAGAAATAGCAGTTAGAAGACCTAAACACACGCACACACACAACTTGGCTCCGTGAGCTCCCCCAACCCATGCCTTCGCCTTTGGAGGCTTTTTTGTGAAAATCCTTCCTCTGTGTGTGTTTTAAAGATTTTTATTTATTTGAGAGTTGGAGTTACAGAGAGAGAGGTCTTCCATCCGCTGGTTCATTCCCCAAATAGCCACAATGGCTGGAGAGCTGGGTCGATCCTAAGCCAGGAGCCAGGAGCTTCATCCAGGTCTCTCACGCAGGGGCAGGGGCCCAAGGACTTGGGCCATCCTCCACTGCTTTCCCAGGCCATAGCAGAGAGCTGGATCGGAAGTGGAGCAGCCGGGTCTCGAACCACCGCCCATATGGGATGCCAGCACTGCAGGTGGAGACTTAGCCCACTACACCCAAGTGCGTTCTTGGTTCACTGGTTTTTCTGCCCAAAGCAGACGGTGGTTGGATCCCAGATCTCCAGCTTGGGGTATCCCAGATCTCTGGCTTGGGGTACCCTGGGGCCCAGAGCATGCTGAGCTGGGGAGGTCGCAGGATGGGGGCTCAGGGGAAAGAGGGGCCCTTCTGATACGGGGGCACATCCGTCCTAAACATGTCTGGGTCTTTGCGCTCCTAACTGCCCTGGGACTGCAGCCGCCGCCTCCACCCCCAAATCCTTGAGATTTGGGGTCCCGCTCTCCAAGCCTCTAATCAGCCCACTTCCTCCTGCCGGCAGTACCCGGCCTGGCCGGCCCCAGACGCCAGGGGGCAGCATTGCCCAGGTATGTTTTGCCTTGGAGGAGACGGGAGGTGAGAGCGGTGGGTGACACCCTCCATCTCTCTCATTTTATTCAACATCCTTAGTGAGATGAAGGTCTGAGTTAGCCCAACGGATGTTTCTAGGACCCACAGGGCTCTGGGCTGGATGTGGGTGAGGTCGCAAGGGCGAGTCCCTCTCTTGAGCCCCAGCTGCGTGGCGCTGGCTTCAGGAAGCACTGGGTGATCACGTGCATGGTCCCTGGTCGCATTAGTAGAGGAAGGCCAGGTAGAAAGAGGGAGGGCGTGGGTCAGACCACAGTGGGCAGGGGGGTCCGCGGCTCCACCTATGCCTGGGCGTGAGGATCGAGATCCTGGTGGGGGCGGGGCTTCCGGGAGGAGGCGGTGCCTAGGGGTGAGGGGAGTGGCAGCCTCCTGGGCTCAGGGAGCACTGTGGACCATGGACGGAAGGTCATGGTCTGCTCTGAGGGGAGGGAGCAGGAGGGCATGGTGGGGTGGTGGGGGCCGTCCCCCGGACCATGCTTGGAGGCACAGCTGGTTCGCTCATGGCTGTGAGAGCCCCTCCTCCGGCTGGCTTTGGGGCCACTCTGGATGCCCCCTCCAGGGTGGACGCTGACCTTGGTTCCTAGCCCCGGGTCTCCCATTTCCCAGTTCTGCCCTCATCGCGTGGGCGTCTCTCCTGCCGCACCCCCTCCCCCTCCCCAGCAGCCCTCTGGGGGGAGGCGTGGTGGCTGCATGCCTAGAGAGCTGTCCCCATTTGACAGAGGGGCAAGATGAGGTCGGGGAGGTACCAGCCCGGATCTCAGGGCTGGCCGTGACGCTTCATCTCTGGGGGAAGAGAGCTGCAGAATTCTCTTCCCACCCCCTTCCTTATCTGGCACCAGAAGCATGGAGCAGGTGGGCTGGACTCCTCCTGCCTGCACTGTGCCTCAGTTTCCCTTGGGGGCACCGCCTGGGCCTCAGCCTCTGGGGCTGGCATGGCCCTCAAGCGCGAGAATGGCTCCTCCTCGATGTTCTGCTTCTGGGGGCTTGGGGAGGCGGCAGCGGCCACCTGGCGGCAGCCACAGGCACTTGCGGGTTTATTTTAGCTGCTGGGGGCGGAGGTGTGATCGGTTAACGAGTGGCCACCCCCTCGCCGCGGGGCCCACTCTGGTCCTTAACCATGCCCAGCCCTTTATAGAACGGCTCCGCCTCACTCCCGGCAGCCGTGTCCCCATTTCCTGAAGGGCAAGCAGAGGCAGCCAGCCCGCGTCCCCTTGGCTCTCCCAGCCCCGTGTGCCTCCGACCCAACCAGGCAGCCAGGTGGTGCCAGCTCCCAGGCCCTGAACCCCACCTGCATGGGGATGGGCCCAGCCCTTGGGGTGGCCAGCTCAGGCAGATCAAGGTGTGGGGTGCCCAGTGGTGATCCGCGCCTACAGACCTGGAGATCAGAGGCATCATTACCTGCCCCGCCCCAAGGTAGGGGCTGGCTGCCTCCATCTGCCCCTCAGACCGGCCCCTCCTGTCTGTGGGGCCCTGCTGGGAGCCTGGAAGGGAGCTGGATTAAGGCCCAATGTCGAGACACGGAGTGGGGAGGCTGACGCCCAGCAGAGGCGCCCCCAACCTCTACGTCTGGGGCCTGGGGCCGGGAGGCAGGTGCTGAGCCGTGAGGCCGCTGGGACAGAGCCCACGGGCCTCACACTGCAGGGCCCCACCCTGGAAGCTGTTAACACAGCTGGGCCAGGAGGGGCCCCTGGTGCCCGTCTCACGTGGGCCTGCCTCTGCTAACTCACAGGTGCCCACCCTCGGGCTGGTTTGGAAGGGCAGGAACTGGGTGGTGGATGGAGACCCTGGCCTGGAGGGGCAGGCATGCCCAACTAGACGGACAGGGCCTCTCTTCCCAATACCGGCTCCCCAGGGAGCTGGGGGCATGGCCAGGCCTGCTCTGGTGTCTGCCCAGGGGGACCCTGGGAGGAAGGGGTGTGGCCGGGGCCGCACCCTGCGTGCCTGGCTGGACCACTCACAGGCATGCAACCCTGCACAGGCCAAGGACAGCGATGACGATGACGACGTCACTGTCGCCGTGGACCGAGACCGCTTCATGGACGAGTTCTTTGAGCAGGTGGGAGCTGGCAGGCCTGGGGCGGGCGCCTCCCACCCCCGAGCCAGGCCCAGGCCTCTTGCATGGCTGCACCTGGCCGGGCAGCGCACCCATTTTGGGGTAAGGGTAGGCTGGAGCTCAGAGCGAGGCTGTTTGGGACTCCTCCCCGCCTCCCATCTAGAAGGGCCACTGGGGGCAGCCACCCCCACCCCGCCCTCTCCTGGAGCCCCAAGCAGCCCCTCCCCGGCCTTGGTCACAGGTGGAGGAGATCCGGGGCTTCATTGACAAGATCGCGGAGAACGTGGAGGAGGTGAAACGGAAGCACAGCACCATCCTGGCCTCCCCCAACCCCGACGAGAGTGAGTGTGCAGGGCCGAGGGCCCCTGGGTTCCCCAGGAAGCCGCTGCTGCCTGGGAAAGTCCCTGGGAGCCCAGCACTGGGAGGCTGGGGGTCCCGGGCCGGCCAGCTGGGGAGGCACCCATGAGAAGCACAGCCGCCCTGGGCCTGGGGTCACAGGTCAGGGCCAGCGTCTCCAGCTGGACCCGGGGTGGGGTCGGGCCACCAGCCCCGCCTCTCCCAGCTACACCTGCTCCCTCCCAGGGTCACAGAGCGGCTGCCACCCTGGGATGCTGGGAAGGAGGGAGGCATGGGAGCCAACTCTGATCCCTGGGAGGCCTCAAAGCTGGGCCCCGCCCCTCCCCGGGAGCAGATGGCGGCTCGGAGGCACCGGCGCTGTGGGAGGGCACGCCGGCCATGAAGACAGAGCTTCCGGAAAGAGCCGGTGGCCCTGGCTCCCTGCCACTGGGTACCCCGGAGCCGAGCATTCTCTGGGCTCCAGGAAGCCACCCCGCCCCTGGGCCCTGGGAGCCCGTTTCCGTTCCGATGCCACTCTGACCCCAAGAGCTGGCTCTCACGTCCCGGGAGGACTACACCAATAGGCGCTGGGCTGCCCTGGCTGAGCCCAGGCCCGCTGAGGTCCCCGCCCCCGGCAGTGCCTGCACCTGCAGTGCCGGAGCCCAGTGCCCGGCCATGGGAAAGCAGGTGGGTCAGGTGGGAGCCGTGGAGATGCCAGGAAGAGCAGGGAGAGGGCGCCCCCAGGCGGGGTGCACCCAGTGCAGTGACATGTTTGCCCCGGGCCCCAGAGATTCGCCCAGGTGACACGTGCGTGTGTCTTTGTGTATCTGGGTCGCTCCTACTGAGGGTCAGGACGTGGTGACTGTAGGGTGGGAACAGAGCAGGGCACTGGGCCTCTCAGCTGTCATTAGTGGGGTGGGTGTGGGTCTCCTCCCTTGGGCCCCCAGTGGCACCTCCCTCCACTGGGTCACACGGTCAGCCCCACAAACCAAGCCAGTCTAGACGTGGCTCGCCAAGAGGAAGGGGTTCCCGACTCAGGGCTCTCCAGGAGAGGCAGCCATGCAAGGAGAGAGGGCAGGGTGGGCGGTGGAGGGGGGCTTTCCTGGGCCGAGACTGGCTCTGCCTCCTCTGGGGGGGGGGCCGCCATCCGGCTGGGCTATTTTGGGTCTGAGTAAAAGAGGCTGAGACGTCAGAGCAGCTGGCCCCCAAGTTCTCCTTTGTTCATGCCATTGAGGAGCCCTCCTCCGCCTGTCGGGGCCCCCCCTCCCCGCACACCCACCTGGTCCATCTCCAGGCTCCAGGAGACCCCAGCCGCAGAGGGTGTGGTTGGAGGGGTGGCAGCTAGGCTCTCCCCCACCCACCATGGAGCCCTGGAGCTGCCCAAGGCTTGGGTGTGGCCAGGAGCACCCCAGGGGCAAACCAGGCACCCTGGTGGCCTCTGCTGGCTCAGCTCCCACCTGAGCCAGGGCCTCCTGCCCCATCAGCCCCCCGAGCAATCAGCGCCCAGGGAGGGGCATTTTCCTGGGGCTGGGGAGCTTGAGGCCACGACTCCGGGGAATATGGGGTCGAGGGAGGCCACAGTCTCACTGGCCCCCCGCAGCCCACTGGCCGGCTGCTTGCCTTCCTGGGCCACCAGGTGAGGCCACACCTCCGCCTTGGGCACAGGCCAGTATCAAGTACTCCCCAGTGCCAGTGCGAGCATCGCCAGCTGCTCCACAATTATTCCTGCCTTAAATTTAGACCCATCTGGTACGTGCAGGAGGTGGGGAGCCGGCGATACAGGAGGGAGGCTCCTAGGAAGGCAGCGCCAGAGGGAGGCTACAGCTGGGCTGGCCCTGGCTCAGAATGGGCGCGCAGGCACACCTTCGCCAGCAGGGGGAGCCCTGTGCAGGAGGCTGAGCCTGGACATCACCAGGGTTAGGACCTGAGTGTTGGCCCCCACCCCCCGCCCCCCCTGCTTCCCCAGAGACAAAGGAGGAGCTGGAGGAACTCATGTCCGACATCAAGAAGACGGCCAACAAAGTGCGGTCCAAGCTGAAGAGTGAGTGGGGCTCCCAGCTGTGTCTCTCGGGAAGCCAGGCCTGCTTCGTCCAGGCCTAACACGGGGGGGGGGGGGGGGACACGTGGAGCAGTGGCTGCTGTCTCCCATCTGCTCGGTGGGTGGGGGCCCCCTCAAGAAGTGGCCAGCCCCTTGAACTCCCTCACAGAGACCTCCACGCGCTTGTGCCCACCAGTGACCTCCCAGGCCAGGGGCCACGGAGCCTGTAGGGGGGCCAGCCGGGCCTCCCCACCCTGCCCATGCCCCCTGTGGGTGGCCCCAGCACACACTAGGTGTTCACACACACACACACACAGAGCTTGGAGTGTGCTGGCCCGTTCTGTACCACGCAGACCCCGCCCCCAGGAGCCAGATGGGGCGAGGGGTCAGGGTGATGGTGTCCGCAGGGGGTGGGGGTGGGGGCGGGGGCGGCCGTGGCTCAGCGGCCATCGTCCCCAGGCATTGAGCAGAGCATCGAGCAGGAGGAAGGCCTGAACCGCTCCTCGGCCGACCTGAGGATCCGGAAGACGCAGGTGCAGCGGGGACACGGGTGGGCAGGTCCCCTCCCCCTGCCCCGGGTCTCTGTGAAGCCTGACGCCTGTACCCCCATCTGGGACCCCTAGCACTCCACACTGTCCAGAAAGTTTGTGGAGGTCATGTCCGAGTACAACGCGACGCAGTCCGACTACCGGGAGCGCTGCAAGGGCCGCATCCAGAGGCAGCTGGAGATCAGTGAGCCAGGGGGCAGAGCTTGGGGGTGGAGCTCGGGAGGGCAGGGCCAGGGTGGGTGTGGCTTGGGGCAGGGCCCAGGGCCTCCCAAGGAGAGGGCCCCTGCTCAGCCCAGTGTGACCCCCTCGCAGCTGGCCGGACCACGACCAGCGAGGAGCTAGAGGACATGCTGGAGAGTGGGAACCCTGCCATCTTTGCCTCCGGGGTGAGTGCGACCCCCACCTCTCCCACCTCCCACGCTCCCCAGCACCGTGGCCCTTGCTGTGGACACGCATGTGGGCTTTGCAATCACTCAGGCAGACTGTAGGGCAGTCAGGGGCAGGCTGAGGTCCCATCAGAGGTAGTGACAGAGGTGGGGTCCAGACCAGTCTCCCAGCGCTTCCCTGGGGGACCCACGTTCCTGCCACCCCTGAGCATTGCCAGCAGCCAGGGGCCACCCCCGTCATCTCCGGGCCCCTTATCCCCTGCTGGTGGCTGGACACACCAGGTGGGAGAGCTCTGCTCTCCAGGCAAGGCTGCTTCCTGAGGGAGGCAGGGCTGGGGCGTGGGCTCCCGGGATGGGGGAGGAGGGGAGGGAAAGGCGACAGGAGGCCTGGGTCCCCACATCCTGGGCTCTGAGCAGAACTGTCAGTTCCAGGGGCAGCATTACGGGCTCCCCTACACAGGCAGGAAACTGGGTAACTACTATGTAAGAGGTGGAGCAGAGGTCGGGAGGGAGCTGCAGGCGCCACTACTGGAACAGGTCTGCCCACCCCAGCTGCCTCCCTCCCCGGGTTTAAGCCCTGCTTGTCCTGGGCCCGTGGCCCCCTCCTCAGCAGCCCCCCGCCCCACCCTCTAGATCATCATGGACTCCAGCATCTCCAAGCAGGCTCTGAGTGAGATCGAGACACGGCACAGCGAGATCATCAAGTTGGAGAACAGCATCCGCGAGCTACACGACATGTTCATGGACATGGCCATGCTGGTGGAGAGCCAGGTGAGTGCCTGGGCCCCTGCCCCGAGCCCCGCCCCCAGCAGCACCTGGCCGCTGCTCTAACCCCTCCCCTTTCTGCCCGACACGCTGCCCTGCCCGGGAGGGACGAGTCCTCAGGTAACCAACTGCCCGCTGTTGGAGTCGTCTCCAGGGCGCTGCCCACCCAAAGGACCTGCTCCTCTGCATGGCTCTGCTTGGCCTCCCAGGACCCCCGGCCCTGCATGGCCTCACACCCCACTCCCACCCCCGTCTGTAGTCACCGACTGTTTACCCCAGGGCCACCGAGGACCAGGTGCTTTCCTCGGAGCTGGAGGTAGAGCGGTGGTAGCTGAGGGGCCCGCTTCCTGGGTGGAAGGGGCAGCGCAAGTGCAGTGCGCTCAGGAGCCGCTAGAGGCGCCAGTGGGACGGAACGGTGGTGCACCGTCTCGACAGTGGCTGAGAACCACCTAGGAAGGCTCATTCTAAACTCCCCAGGTCACCTGTCCCAGACGTCCTGGGTCTGGGCAGCCACTTTGGATGGAGTGGTCAGGGACAGGACATCTGAGCTGACAGCAAGAAAGGTGGGAAGGAGCCCACTCTGAAGACCTCCCTGGGGGGTGGGGGTGGGGCAGAGAGAAGAGCCAAGGTGCCCTGCAGGTGAGAGCCAGACTCCACCTGAGGAACAGGGACCCTGTGGCCGGATCCCAGGGAACAGCTGGAGCTGACATTGAGAGGAGGAGGTGGCCGGCGCTGGGGGGACATAGGCCATCTCCCAGAGGATGTTTTGGGGTTTTAGAGGTAGTGAAGAACACTGAGAGCTCTCCCCTGCTGCCCCACCCCCTAACTGCCTGCCCAGGCTAGGACTGCGCCAGGCTGCAGCTGGGAGCTGGGACTCTGACCCAGGTCTCCCACGTGGGTGGCAGAATGCAGTCCCTCGAGCCATTGCCACTGCCTCCCAGGGTCTGCACGAGCAGGAAGCTAGAGTCGGGAGCCAGAGCTGGGGATGGAATCCAGGCTCTCGGGGGTAGGATTCCTAGGCCAACATCTGCCCCTAGGTCGGAGGGTTTTCAGCATGGGCGTGATGTGACCTTAGTGAGGAAGTAGGGGTCATTTAGGAAGCTGCTGCCACCAACCTGGTAAGAGACCAGGGTGACGGACGCCAGCTCAGAGAGGGAGTCACTAAGGCTAGTTGTGAGGCAGTGCTGTGGTCAGACTGGCCTCTGGGGGCCATGTGGGGCCAGACTGCAGGGCCCAAGAGGGCTAGGGGGCTGGGGAGGGAAGTCTTCAAGGATGAAGACCCCGGACAGCCAGAGCTGAGGGAATGGACTGGTCACGTGGTGAGCTGTGCCCAGGGCAGGCCGACTCCAGCTCACTGCTCCTGCCCCTGCTCCCCTCTGCCTGGCACCGCCCTGTGTCCAGCACTGGGCACTGAGGTCAGGGCCCAGCTGAGCATCCTCTGCATGGTCCCCACCCCTTGGCTGAGACTGCATGGCCATCTCCACCCCCATGATGGCTGCTCTGCGGGGCCAGGGAGCATGCCTGGGCACACGTGAGAAGCTGCACCCCATCTTCCTCGTGTCCCCCCTTCTCTCTAGCCTCAGGCTGCTTTCCTGAAGTCCTGCCCGAGCCCCCACCCCAAGGCCAAGGAGGAAACCCCCTGGAGCTCGCCTGCCTTCGGCCCCCCAGGGGGAGATGATTGACAGGATCGAGTACAACGTGGAACACTCAGTGGACTACGTGGAACGGGCTGTGTCTGACACGAAGAAGGCGGTCAAGTACCAGAGCAAGGCGCGCCGGGTCAGTGGCCACTTCCCCAGGCCTGCCCCACCTGCTCCGGGTCTGTCTGTCCCTGCGCTCCTGTCCCCTGCCCCGGGGTCTGTCCCTGCGCTCCCGTCCCCCCGCCCTGACGCGGCCGCCCCTTGGTCCCGTGCAGAAGAAGATCATGATCATCATCTGCTGCGTCATCCTGGGCATCGTCATCGCCTCCACCTTCGGAGGCATCTTCGGGTAGACGCCGCCCAACGGCCGCCCTGCCCTGAGGAGGCCCTGGCTGCTGGCCGCCCACCTTCTGGCTCACAGCCTCCTCCCTCCCACCCCCTTCTGCTCCTCTCTGCCCTGGGCCGTGTCGTGTGCATGATCTTTGTGACAGTGCGTGTCTGTACAGGGGAGGCAGACGGGAGCCGGGCTGCAGCGGGGGCGGCCTGGGGCAGACTCAGGCCCTGGCCCAGGCTGCCCCCGCCCTGCCCCGCCGAGACAGGGCTGCCGGGTAGCACCTGCTACCCCTCCTCACCTGGGACCCAGGCTCTGTCTGGACCTAGCCTTGCCCATCTGCCCTGTCCTCTCCAGCTGTCCCCCAAGCTGAGCCCCTGAGGGGTGGGGACCAGCTGGCTATGGTGCTGCTTTTCAGGTTAGGGGAGGGGTGGCCCAGAGGGACAGTCCAGCTCTGCACCTCTATCAGCTGACCACTGCCACAAGGCTCAGGGAGCTGTGGCTGCTGACCAGGTGGAGGCCAGGGTCTCCCCCCAACCCAGGGGCAAGGCCCAACAGCTTCCCCGCCCACATCCCTGGGAGCTAAAGCACCCCTTTGGGCTAGGCCTGACGCCAGATGACCCGTGCAGAGGCTGGTGGTCAGGCCTGTGCCCAGGCGTCCCCAGCAGGCCTCAAGCCATGCTGCATGTTCGGGACAGCAGTGCCTGCGCCCGTGTGCTCTAGGTCGGATGTCCCTTGAGGCCTGCAGTCTCATCCCGCCCTGCTGTCCCCGTTGATGTGCCATGTGGGTGTCAGATGTCCTAGACGCAGTATTCAGCAGTGGGGAGGGGCTGCTCTCCCCTCCCTGTCCACCTGGAGTCAGAATGGGGCCCCACCCCCGAGACCCCTGCCGACGGGCAGGAGGTGTGCATGCCGGTGTGCATGGGGTGTGCTGGGGCCGCATCCACCCTCCGGAATCCCCGCGCTTGGCTCCTGCCGTGACTGTGACCACTGTCCGTGTTGCCTTCTTCAACAGCCACTTCCCACCCCCTTCACCAAAGGTCTTGGTACAACCAGCTGCCCATTTTGTGAGGTTTTTATGTAGAATAAACATTTGTACCTGTACCAGGCCTGGCTTTCCTCTCTGCAGCGTCATGCCTCAGGGCTCGGGCATGCCATCGTGACACCAGGGGGAAGGGGCTCAGGGCCGGAGAGTCCCACCCACAAAAGCTCTCCACGGCCGCGGGCTCAGCTCCGGCCACGCAGTGCATAAACGCAGGCTCTTCTGCGGGCCCAGGCCCAAAACCGCGCTCACCCCAGTCCAACAGCCAGAGCATCCGCCGAAAGCAAGGCCTGCGCCTGACAGCTGGGCAGCCCGGGAGCCCCAGCCTAGGCCCAGCGCTGTCCTCCAAGCAAAGCGAGGTGCTTGTTCTGCACTGCTGTCACATGTCATCTCCCTTCCCCCGCGCCCAGGAGTCTCAAGTGACCTGAGACCCCTCACCAGCCTGTTAGAGCGCCCCAGAGCAGGACTGCTCTTCTGAGCACTGGGGACAGGAAAGCCTCCCCCCAGGGGAAGCAAGCACCCGCACGGAGGCCTCGGCCCGTGGGTGCCACTGTTGGTTCTCACCTGGCCCAGCCGTCCCCCCTTGGCCTGGGCGTCAGGCACCAGTCCCAAGGGAAGGCCCCCACCTGGGCTCGTGCGCTCCAGCTCCCCACAGCCCTCTCCTACCTGAGGAGTCCAGGAGCAGCCCTGCCCAGCTGGAGAACACCAAGGCTGGAGGTGCTCAGGAAGTGATTTTATTGCTTTTAGAACAAAATATGCTTGGAACTTTTTTTGGTAAAGAAAAATACAACTTTGGAAGTTTTCTAAAATAATTACTTTGTCAACTAGTGAAGTGCGCGCTTCGACACAGGGAAGCTGCCGGGCCCCGTGGTCCAGCCTGGGGCTGCGGCCCCCCAGAGCCGTCCCCGTCCCCCTGCTCGCGCGGCTGCTCAGAAGCGGGGCTTGCGCTTGCGGCCGGTGTACCGCGTGTCAGGTCTGACCTCCCTGTGCCAACAAAGACCGGAAGGCGGCTCAGTGCGGCACCAAGCAGCCCAGGGGCCCCTCCCGACGCAGGCGAGGCCTCGGGGGCACAGGCACGCACCGCCCCCCCCCAGGCTCGTGCCCAGCCGGGACTCACTTGCCCTGCCGCCTGTGCCGCTCCTTCTTCTCCAGCACCCACGCTCGGCTCTTTCTCACCAGTGACCGCCTCTCGAGCCTGAAAGGGACCCTGGGCCAGAGACACCATGATGAGCCGATAGGTGGAGCTTCCCTCTGCCCTCGGTGGCTCCACACGCCCCGCCTCCCTTCTGCAATACCAGTCCCCACTCTGGTCCCCTCCTTCCTGGAGGCCCACAGGACAGAGCAGCTGTGTGCGCCCGCAGTCCCGCAGTCCCCCAGGATCCCCACAGGGGACAACCGCTTGCTGCACGGCACACATCCAGCCTGCTGGGGGCACCCCAGGACCCCACCAGCACTGCCACTTCAGCCCTGGACCGGTTCTGTGCAGGGACCAGAGGTTCCAGCGCCTGCAGATATGTGAAGTAGGAAAACGAGGCTCGAGCAGACCCGGCGACGTCCCCAGCAGGGCTAATCTCAGCCTCCAGCCCCGGCTGGGGAGAGAGGGGACCCCCACAGCACCAAGGGAGACAGGATCTCAAAATGGGGCCTGCAACCACATGCCCCAAACTGTTCCCAGCACAGCCTGCCCAACAGCGGCATGAGCCAGCCCTGACCTCATCCCAGGGCTGGGCCAGGGCAGAGACCACCCCCACTAGGCAAAGCAAGCGCAGAGGCCCCGGGCACACAGGAAGGGCAAGCACAGCGAGGAGTGGGGTTCCCGCAGGGAGGCGGGGAAGAGGGCAGGGGTGCAGCTGCCCAGGCCACCTCCGGGACCAGGGGCCTGTGCGAGGACCAGGGGGGAAGGCTGCCCTGTGTCGTGCCCTGTGTCTCCCTGCAGTGAGCACTGTCTAGACAGATTCAGGAGAGAATCTCAGGAAGACCCGAGGCTAGGGGGCAGACAAGGACAAAAGTGGGGACCCAGGGGTGTGAAGAGAGAGGAGTGGAATCACCCAGCAGACCCGGGTCAAAGGTCAGTCCAGAGACACCAGTGTGGGTGGAGCCAATGAGTGCCATTTGGACACCTGAGACCAGCAGGCGGGGCACAAAGCGGGAGGCAGTGGTGCAGAGGGCTGGAGCCACAGAAGATGACTCCCAGGGACTATTTCAGAGCAAAGTGGGGGCAGGGAGGGGAACAAGGCCAGGGCAGGAGCCAGTGAGGGACGTCGGGGGGAACGCACTGGGAGACAAGAGAAGCAGGCGAAGCTGGGGCGCCCAGCCTGGCGGAGCAGCAGTGGCCAGCGCCAGCGGGGCCCAAGCCTTTCAGGTGAGGTAGGAGGAGGAGGAAGGGCCGCACAGGTGAGAGTGATGCAGCAGGAAGACAGGTCAGGTCAGGAGTCACTTTTGGAATTTACCTAAATGCTTAAAATAAGCGCCCTTCACAGACTAGACAGAAGTGGGGAGCCTTCCAAGCGCACGGCCTCCTCCCCGCCCCCCAGAACAAGGGCAGCGGCACTCCACCCCACTCCACCCTCAACACGCTGTCAGCTGGGGCTTCTCCCTCCCCTCTGAACAGGGGGGAACGGGTGCTCAGGTCTGCTGACTTACCCAAGCTTAGTTAGGCTGTGTCGTCGGCACACACTGGGGTGAGGACAAGAGGGGTCCCAGGGCGCACGGAGGAGCTAGAGAACTTGCACTTCCTCGCACAGGGCGCAGGGGAGGGGCACCTTAGGGCGGAAGCACCTGGAAGAGCCCCAACTCCCCATGGGGAACGGGCTGGGGAAACTGAGAGAAATGATGGCCAAGGGTCTCCAGTCAGAGGGCATACACCCCGTGGACACAGGAACATGCAGGGCTCACCACCAGGGGGCCTTCCAAACTCACGCCCTCAGACGTCACACGCATCAGCCAGGACTAAGAAGGGTCCCCCTTCGCGACCTGGTGAGCCAGTATTCACTCGACACCTGCTGGGCACCTACGCTAGCAAGACGCTGGGACGCACCACCAGGCCCACCGAGCGTGCACTCCAAGTGAGCGCTGTGACCGAGAGAAGAGAAGGTGTTCCGGAAACTGACGGCGAGGGGAACTCAACTGAAGCTACCGGACAGAGAAACGGCAAGCGATGGCGGACACTTCCGGCACACCGAGGGAGAGGGCCGGCCGGGTGTGAGAAGGACCACACCGCACAATGGCCGAGGGTGGGGGAGGGGCTGCAAGCCAAGGGCGGTTTTGTGTGAGATCCCCATGAGAGCCCGGGCTGGACACTTTGGTAGTTGGCCAGTCAGGTGTGGCTGAGACACGGCGGAGATTTAGGAACTTGTGGTGGTGCTGAAAGCAGCTGAGAGAGAGGTGGAGTCCAGAGCAGGCCCGAGGGAACTCCAGCAGAGGAGCCAGCAGTGGACCGAGACAAGCGGCCAGCGGGGTTGGGGCGGAAGCCCATGAGGCAAGAGGTGGTGAGTGGCCACGTCAGATCCCACTAAGCACGCGGCTCAGGTAGGGACAGAGATGGGGCAAAGGCGGAGAGGTGGGCAGACTGGGCAAGAGGGAACTGGTGGTGGCCTGGATGTGGGCGTCCGTGACGAGACAGAAGCATCATCATGGAGCCCGTGCAGTGGGGGGCATGGAAGGCGGGAAGTGAGGAGAGGGCAGAATGGCCGTCTCAGGGTTTAGAGAGTTCTTGTCCAAAACAAGACAGTGTGCAGCGTAGAGGCAGGAACGGGGTGCCCCAGGGGTACAGGTGCGGCTGCAGAAGGCACAGGACATGGCAAAGGAGGGCAGCCTCGGGAAGGAAGGGACCAGCTCCCAAGTGTGGCAGAAGGGGTCCGCGCAGGCTCCCGAGGGGACTCGAGGCTGCCTGACCCCCAGGTGGGCCCCAGCCCCCCAGCCCAAGGCAGGAGCAGGCTCGCTCCAACGGGATCTCTCCATTGCTACCAGCACCCTGGTCGCTGCTGCATCTGAACCCAGGTAACCCGGGCGAGAGCAGACGCCCCGTCTGGTAAACCCGACAGCAGCAACCCCGTGCCGAGGCAGGCTCGTGCCTTACCTCGCATTGGTGAACCGGGATTCACTGGCTTCGTCTTCATCGGGATTTTCACTCAGGCCCTGGAGGAACCAAAGTGTGCTTAGACCACCCCGGGGTCTCTACACGTTCGTGTGATCCAGAAGACACCAGGTCTGAGCCTGCCAACAGGTACCAGGCTCCATCCCACAGGGAGGAGCTGGCCGTCCCTCAGGCGGTCCCGGCCTGTGGCTCCCAGAGGTCTCAGGCCCGACGCTTCTGTCCCACGGGGCTGGGACGCACCCGCCTGTAAACCCACAGTCGCTCACCTTTGGCAGAACCGTCACGGGCCCAGAAAACAGACAGAGGTAAAACCTGAAATGAGAGAGGCACAGTGGGGGCTGGGCTCCAAGCCCTTCAGGGATGGCGCTCACCCCACCGCCTGCCTGCCTGGGGCCTGGCGACCCACCCCCGCCCCCTCCCCTGCAGCCCAGGAGCGCACGGGCCCCTGGCACTCACTTCTTGGCTTTGGTACTGTTGGGGTAGTCCACCACCACACCACCAGTGAAGCCGGCCCTCGTGGCCTGCGTCGTGATCAGCTCCAGCTGAGGAGGGGAGAGGGCAGCCAGTCAGGTCGGGTGGCTGGGGCAGAGCGCTTATTCCCGCTCCCTCAAAAAGCACTTCTGAGAGCTGGCTTTTTTAAAATAAATTCATTGAGAGGAACAGAGACAGACAAGGGGAGAGAGAGGTCTTCCACAGAGCTGGGCTGATCGAAGCCAAGAGCTTCTTCCGGTCTCCTACACAGGTGCAGGGGCCCAAGCACTTGGGCCATCCTCCGCTGCTTTCCCAGGCCATTAACAGGGAGCTGGACTGGAAGTGCAGCAGCTGGGACCAGAACTGGTGCCCACGTGTGACCTGGCAGCACTGCAATGGAGGCTTAACCTGCTATGTCACAGGGTCAGCCCCACGTCAATTCATTTGAAAGGTGGTTAGAGGGGAAGGGAGAGAGGGAGAGGGAGAGGGAGAGAGAATTCTTCCATCTGCCGGATCACTCCCCAGACGGCCACAATGGCCAGGGCTGGGCCAGGCCTCCTACTTGGGCCACTGTCTGCTGGCTTCCCAGGCGCGTCAGCAGGGAGCTGGATGGAAGAGCAGCTGGGACTTGAAGTGGTGCTCCTGCAGAATGCTGACAGCACAGGCAGGGACTCGGCCTGCTGCACCACACACAGGCCCCTGGCCTACAATTAACAGGCCATCGATCCAGCATCCCGTCACAGTTCTCATGTTAGGGTCCCACCTCGGGTCCTGACTCCAACTTCTGGCCAGTGTGCACCCAGGAGGCAACAGGGAATGGCTCAAGCAGTTAGGCCCTGCACCCATGTGGGAAGTCTGAGGTGAGTTCCGGCTCCAGGCTTCAATGTGATGTGCAGGCATTTAGGTAATGAACCATCCAATGAGAGCTCTCTTTCTCTCAGAGAACTACGAATTCAACGACACTGAGAAAGCAGCCAGTCTGCTCCCAGGACGGGCCCTGCCTGGGAGAATTGATGAAACAGACGTTTCCAACTAAGTCCCTCCAAGCCACACAGAGGCAAGCGCAGGCCGGAAGCTGTGCCAGCACACGCCTCCCTGGGGGAGTTACCTCCCACAGCAATCCACACGCCAGCAGCCAATGGGGGCCTCGTTCACTTGTGGCAGGAGACAGGGACAGCTCGTCACGCGTCTGTCCTAACTCCTAATCACCGTCCCACAGAGAGCAGAGCACTTGGCCATTGGGTCACAGAAATCAGTGCCCTCACAGCACGGTACCAGAAGACAAAGCCCAGCCTCACAGATCCTTCCAGTTAAGAGCTCAGGAGGCCACAGGGGCCACCCGAGGGTGTTCGCTCCCTCCCCTCCCTCCCCCTTCCCTGCACCTGCAGCAGCCAGGGGCTCACCTGCTCTGAGTTCTCAGGGTACAGCTGCAGGACAGCCCGGGCTCCACGCACCTGTGAGGAAGATGTCGGTGTCTCACAAGCACCCCACGGGTCAGGACCGGGTCGCTCTTCCTTCCCTCCCTGCACTCAACACCTACTGCGTTCCCGCTGGGTGCGAGGCCCTGTTCTGAGCACTGGGGACCCAGCCCTGACCGCGAGAGCCCCTAAACTTCTGCAGCTCATGCTCTCACAGAGGAAGCAACTCATTTACAGCAGTGTCAGCACCAAAAACAAACAGGCTGGAGACCAAGACGGAGGGGGACGGGATGGCTGAGTTGACTCCTGACTCCAGGCAGGCCTCTCTGAGAACACTGGAGCAGAGACCCACGTACAGCGGGCAGCCGGCGGCTTCCATGCAGGAGTGCAAAGCATTTCAGAGGAGAAAGGCGGACATAGGCCCTCAGAACTTCAGAGCTAACCCCACGGTGTAGTGGAGAAAGCAGGTGGCCTACCAGCCCAAAAGCCACCTGGGAAGGCTGGGCGCAGGGTGGGGAGACCCAGGAGGACAGAAACACCTAGGTCCTTCAAAAAATGGAAAAAGGACTCATTTTCAAGACATGGACTCTAGCAGTCTTGTAACTAGAAGCAACTAGAAGCCATGCCCTCGGCTGTAAGGACGAGATGAAGCTATGCCAGGCTCTGCGTGGGGGTCACCACCAGGAGCGGTGGGCAGGGAGGAGTCAGAGGACACAGCGTTCTGCAAGACGTCCACTCTGCTCGGCCCACTTCACATGTAGCATAGCAAGCAGAGCAACTGAATTCAACAGGAGTAGGCCTTATTTCCAGGTAGCTCAGGTTTTGTCACCAGTGTCTTGTGGGTTCAACTAGAGAGCGTCAGACCACTGAGCATGAGCTTCTGTTTGGGCCAGGGCCTCGGATAAGTCACCAGGGTAAGGTTCTGACACCCCATGGGGTCCTGTCAAGGGGCATCTCAACTTCATCTGTCCACCTGCAGGGCAAGGGAGGGATACACGGGCACCCAGCCCACACAGGGACCGCGCATACTCACAAGCACGGAGTAGAGAGAGGAAAAGAAGCAGAAGAGGCGCTTGGCTGGGACGTCGGACCTCTTGTTAGAATTGCACAGCCACTGGACGGCAGAGATGCTGAACGGAAAGGAAGGTACCTGGTTAGGAGAGGGGCCGATCCACGCCACCCCCGGCCTCCACAGCCTGCGAGACTCTGCCACCACCCTCTGTGGCCCCACCCGCAAAGGCCCCCTGCCCGCAGGCCCCGTTGGCAGGTGCACTCTGGGCCAGTGCTCTGCAGTGCTGCACCACACAAGGCAGACGGAGGGCGGTGCACACTCCCTCAGCCAGCCCCAGAGAACCCTCTCAGCTTCCTCCCCTGGCCTCTGCACCTCCACTGTCAACAACACAAAGCCAAATTCAAGAGAATCTACCACTCACCGCAGGAGACAAAGACAGACTTCATGCTTCTAACAGTAATTTCTACGTTTCAAGACCAGCTAATCTAAGTACTATACACAGGATAAAAACCTGACCTGGGACAGGTGCTGTGGTGCAGGCGGTTAAGCCTCCACCTGCGACACCGACATCCCACATGAGGGCTGGTTCGAGTCCCGGCTGCTCCACCTCCAATCCAGCTCCCTGCTAATGCATCTGGGAAAGCAGCAGAGGGTGGCCCAAGTGCTTGGGCCCCTGCAGCCACGTGGAGACCTGGATGGAGTTCCAAGCTCCTGGCTTTGGCCTGACCCAGTCTGGGCCACTGTGGACATTTGGGGAATGAACCAGCAGACAGAAGATCTGTGTCTGTCTCTCTTTGTAACTTAATAAATAAACAAGTAGATAAATCTTAAAAAGAAAAAAGCTTGACCCCAATGACCAAGAAAGGACTCCAATGACACTTAAGAAAACACAGCAGTCGGGCCGCTCCCCACTAGAATTTATCAAATGGAACAAAACAAGATGGCTGCAGAGGCCCACAAAATGGCTCCTAGAGGCTCATCCCTCCCCCTACACACAAAGCAAACATAGTATCCATAGCAGCCGCCTGAACCTGGCACTTAAGGACTACAGGCCTTGTGGTGCAGCAGGTTAAGTTGCCACTGGTTTGAGTCCCAGCTGCCCTGCTTCCAACCCAGCTCTGCAAATGCGCCTGGGAAAGCAGAGGATGGCCCAAGTGCTTGGGCCCCTGCACCCACGTGGGAGACCCGAAAGAAGCTCCTGGCTCTTTTTTTTTTTTTTTTTTTTTAGTTGAAAGGCAGAGTTATAGCGAGAAAGAGAGACAGAAGTAGAGAAGGGGAGACAGATCTCCTATCTGCTGGTTCACTCCCCAGATGACCACAATGGCCAGGGCTGGGCCAGGCTGAAGCCAGGAGGGTCTTCCATGTGGGTGCAGGGGCCCAAGCACTTGGGCCACCCTCTGCTGCTTTTCCAGGCCATTAGTAAGGAGTTGGATCAGAAATGGAGCAGCCAGGCCTCAAACCAGCACCCATACGGGATGCCAGTGCCACAGGCAGTGGCTTTACCCACTATGCCACGGTGCCAGCCCCAGCTTCTGGCTTTGGCCTGAAGCTATAGGCCCAAGCTATTGTGGTCATTTGGGGCATGATCTAGTAGATAAGTCTCTCTCTGCTGTTCAAATAAATAAATCTTCAAAAATATATACACACACACACACACCCCACTACAGAGATATCTGGGCCTTGCTGTAGCTCCTGCTCTGATCTTCTAGGTCTAAAAGTCCCAGCATCCTGGCTGACCTGCCGCGCGGCCAGGTGTGGATGTGCTGGCCTTCAAGACAGAGCAGAAAGCGGAGACGCTCACCTGATGCAGCCATCAAAGGAGCCTGGCTTGAAGGGGATGCCCTGGCCCATGTCCCCCAGAAACAGGTCTCCCTGCGTTTCTCGGTCCAAGGCCGCATCTACATTGGAGACAAAGTGAGGGAAGCCGACAGCAAGCACGGCCCGCACCCCGGTGACGGAGGCCAGCCTAGCGCCACGCTGGACATCCTTACCGAGCATGGCGGGGCTGATGTCGATGCCCACCCAGTAGTGCCCCTCATCTGAGAGGTAATCGCCACTCAGCCCAGAGCCGCAGCTGGAAGACACAGACAGACTCTCAGCGTGAGGCGCGAAGGCATTCCAGCCCCCGAACAGGGAGAACCCGGTCGCAGGACCTCACCCAATGTCCAACAGAAAACAGGGCTGACCCTCAGGCAGATAAAGCAGCTCCAAGGCCCGCCCAGCCATCTTGGTTTGGATGTCAATCATCCGCGAGCTGCAAAGGAAAACTGAGTGGGAAAGGAGCTCTGGGCCGTGTGTTCCCCACAGCCTAAGACCCGAGGGAAGAAAAGCATGAATGATCACCCTGAGCGTTCTTCCCCGACCCCTTCACCAGGCGGTTCCAACCTGACACCAACACACACGATCACAGCTATCAAAGGTGCGCCCCAGGGCTGGCGGGTGGCACGGTCGCTTAAACCACCATCTGTGGGTATCCCCACACGGAAGTGCCAGTCCCAGGCCGCTTCCCATCCAGCTTCCTGCTAACCCGCGTGGGAGACCCAGACAGAGTTCTAGGCTTTGCCCTGGCCCGGGCCTGGCTGTTGTGACCATTTGAGGAGTGAAGGGAAGACCTTTCTCACTCTCTGTTGCCCTTTCAATAAATCAACTCTAAACAACAGCAATAATAAAGTAAAAGTGACTTCCAAAGACCCTGCAACCCAGCAACCTGTGTCTGCTGGCACAGGTGCAAAGCTGATGTGATGGAGCCACCTGGCTCGTGCCCGACCTCTACTGAAACCCCAGCAGGCTCTGACGGTCCTCGGCTCCCTGAGAACACACTCCCCAGAATCATCCACCAGTCGCTCGCAAGCATATTGAAGGGTGCTTCAAAACGGTTTGTGGAAAATGCATACCATGGGGGGGAAAAATCTATGCATGAACTTCAAACATTTCTGCACCAAAATCAATTCATCTTCCACAAACTCTGAGGCACAAACAAAAAGGACTGGCAGTGCAATCCATGAAAAAAAAAATATGGTAGCCACAGTTAGAAGTTAAAGCAAGTGGCAAAACAAAACTGTAGTAATAGTTTATTTTACCCAGTAAATTATATTTAGCCTGGTACGCTCTGAATACCATTTCAACCATCAACCCACAGGAAATACTACCAATTAAATAATAATAATAATAGACAAGATCCTTCCATTTCTTCCTAAGCGGTCATTTAGAGTAAGCCACACTACACAAAGGAGGTCTGTCTGTGCACATGAACCCGGATCGCACAAAATCATTTCCGTTAACACCTAACATAAGCTCTGCAGCTGGAATCCTGTCTCCATCTCCCATCCGGGGAAAACTGGACCAGGGCAAGCTGCCGCCCCTGGAATCCCGTCTCCACCTCCCATCCAGGCTCCATCTCCCATCCGGGGACAACTGGACCAGGGCGAGCTGCCGCCCCTGGAATCCCGTCTCCATCTCCCATCCGGGGACAACTGGACCAGGGCAAGCTGCCGCCCCTGGAATCCCGTCTCCACCTCCCATCCGGGGACAACTGGACCAGGGCGAGCTGCCGCCCCTGGAATCCCGTCTCCATCTCCCATCCGGGGAAAACTGGACCAGGGCAAGCTGCCGCCCCTGGAATCCCGTCTCCACCTCCCATCCGGGGACAACTGGACCAGGGCGAGCTGCCGCCCCCGGAATCCCGTCTCCACCTCCCATCCGGGGACAACTGGACCAGGGGGAGCTGCCGCCGCTCCGTCTTGGCCTCTCACTTGGACAGAAGAGTACTAGCAGAATTTTCTACAGAGCAGCGCACCAGAGAAGGCAGGTCTGGAAGTCCGCTGCTCTAGCCCGGACCTGCCAAGGAACTCCGGGATTATACAATACACCTCCTCTTAGGGAATTCAATCACAGCGACAACCAACAACTCTCGCTAAGATTTACTTAGAACGCAGAGGGACACACCAAAGCACGCCGGGATATTATTTCCCACCCCCCCCAGTAGTCCCCCCACCCACCCCCCGAGTAGTCCTGACCCCCGCATGCACAACACAAGCTGGGCCCACCCCCAAACTTTGAACGCCACCTGGGGGAACAGGCGCGACCACGCCCACTTCCAATGCTCAGGTAAGATCCCGAGGCCGGCTTTCCTTGGGGGCAGAAAGAGCGTCAGCTCACGAACCAGACTCCCGCCCCCCGCCCGCTAAGCAATGCCCCGCAGAGGGGGCGACTTGCAGCTTCCCGACCCCCGACGGCTCCTCTCACTTGCGAACGTATTTCCGGGCTTCATTCTCGTCGTAAAACTGCGAGAAAGAGAAAAAGGCAAGTCGAGGCAGGAAGGCACACGCGGGGGGTCCTCGAAAAGCCGAGAGGAGCGCCCGCGGGCCACAGGCCTTACCAGCTCGGCGGGGCCGCAATGCTCCGGTCTGCCGCCGCGAGACGCCATCCTCGCGTCTCTGGAACACGCCGGCTACTGGCGACTCCGGGCGCCGGCTCTTACGTCATCAGTCCCGCGACCGGCTCGTGACGCACATGTTCCACCCCCTTTCCCCGCCTCCCTATTCAAGTGATTGGCTACGGGGCCCACGCCTGCCAATTCCTTGCGCTTCCCATTGGCCGGTCCGTCTCCCAGCGGTCGCCGGCTCCGTTCAAGATGGCAGCCGCGCACAGTCCGCGGTGGTCGCGGCTGCTACTCTGGCGACTGTGGCGGACCTGGGAATTCGCTCCCAGTTCGGCGTCGAGTGTGGGCCTGCGAGCAAGAACCTATTCTCGGGGCGACGGCCCGTACTCGCGCACTGCGCTCTACGAGCTGCTCGGCGTCCCCCCCACGGCCACGCAGGCTCAGATCAAGGCGGCCTACTACCGGCAGAGCTTCCTCTACCACCCCGACCGCAACTCCGGCAGCGCCGAGGCTGCCGAGCGCTTCACGCGCATCTCCCAGGCCTACTTGGTGCTGGGCAGTACCACACTCCGTCGCAAATACGACCGCGGGCTGCTGAGCGACGAGGACCTGCGCGGCCCCGGCGCCCGGCCCTCCAGGACGCCCGCGGCCGACCCCAGCCCGCCCCGGCCCCCGCCGGCCGCCTCTCGGGCCCCGCACGGGGGTCGGGCAGCCCCTGGGGGTGCCGAGCGCACCATGTTCGACTTCGACGCCTTCTACCGGGCACACTACGGGGAGCAGCTGGAGCGCGAACGGCGCTTGCGGGCCCGGCGGGAGGCCCTTCGCAAACAGCAGGAGGATCGCGCCACCAAGGGCTTCAAGTGGGATGAGGTCCGGGACACGACCTTCATTTTCCTCTTCCTTTTAGTCTTCATCATCGTCGGCTTTCGGATCTGAGCGGAGAGAGGCGGGAGGAGCCGCGGCTCAGCCGGTCCCGGGACAGCGGCCCTGCTGGCCCTCGGAACTTTTGACCTTCCCTAGTCTACCTCGGCTTGGGGTCCCAGGAGCTGAACTCCCTCTGCCCTCCCCACCCGCCCAGCTACGTCCCTCCCCGAGGGTCCAAGAAAGAGCCCCCTCCCCCCAAGATGGAGATTCTCGGAAGTCCGGAGTGCAGGGTTTCCCCGGGTCCCTTGAGTGCCTGCTTCCCTCGGATGTTGTCAGCGACTGGACCACTTGCTCTGGCTTTATTGTGAGGCCCCAAGCAGGACTTATCTGCCCCCCACCGAGCCGCGTGGGGGCTTCTCTGTAACCTTGAAAAGTGCAATACGCCCAAGCACTGGCTGCCAAAAAAAATTCTGGGGTCGTCCGAGAACCTGTCTCTCTCTGTGAGTTCCCCAAGCCGCAGGTGGGAGTTCGGGCAGCCCCCAGGCCACTTCCCCCTCGGAGGGTGGGACACCCAGATCCCAGAGCGGAAGCACCAGTGTTCCTGTCTGTGTCCATTTAACTTGGAGGAGCTGCTCAGGGCCGTGACCGCAGAGGAGTGAGTGACTTGCTGTTTTGAAGTCTGTCCCGTTTATGGCCGGTAATTCTATGGTGATGCTGGTAGGGCCAAGGTCATCCTCGGGACAGTGTGCCTGTCAGCTGGTCATCCTGTTCCCAGGCCATCCTCCCCTCCCAGACAAGGGTCACATTCAGCTAAGAGTTCCCCGAGGGTGGCCCCTGCCCCTGTGTAGCTCGCAGTGCTCATCACAGCCCTCCCCCAAGTCCTGGAAGCAAGGGTGCTGGAGCGGAGGGAACTGAAGTGGGCCGGGCTGCTGAGCAGGGTGGCCGGGCCCAGAGAGACAGGCCGAGGCAGGGGCCCAGAGCTGCAGCTGGGAGGCTCCTGGGCCTGGGGCAGTGGGGCTGGCCATGGGGTTGCAGGTGCTCAGGGGGCTGCACTGGGGCCCAGTGGAAGGCTGGAGCAGAGCAGGACTCTTGCCAGGGGTCCAGAGCAAGAGGGAGGGCCCGAGTCCAAGGTCTGAACAGAATCGGAGGTGCCTGGGTGTATTAGCAATTCCTGTACCCATGGTGTCTGATCCTCGGGATAAACCCACACATAGTCCAGGTGGGGGCTGGGCTCCGACATCCCTGTGGGGCGGCCACAGAATGGGCCCACCCTGGTTTACTGTCCTGGCTCCGTGAGCCTTGATGTCGGGGGTGGGGGTGTGTACTTTTGGAAAGAATGTCGACTGTTGGTATGTTTCATATTTGGAAAGCAAGAGGGGCCATTTGTTGAAAAACAGGCCGAGGGGGATGGGAGAACGGAGCCCTGCAGACAAACCTGGCAGGAGCCGTGGATGGCTGACCAAGGGGGGGGGACTACTCGAGCCTCAGGGCTTTGGTTCTTTGTGGGTTCGTGGAGGTACATGGGCCCCTTGGCGTAGACCTCCCAAGTTTGTTTATGCTCCGTGAAGCCCACAGCTCTGGAAGTTCTGTCCTGGGACCTAAAAAGTTACAGGTCTGGGATCACACTAAGCTTAGGGAACCTCCCTAGCCCGCCTGCAGCTCCAGGCAGGGTAGCCTGGAAGGCTCCTCCCCGTGCAGAAACAGCCCCACGCTCTGCCTGCCTCGGGCGGGGAGGGTGGGCTCTTTATGAAGCACACCCCCACCCCGGCTGCTCCCCTGGCTGACATTTCTGCCCCATGCCCCTCGCAGGGCCCCCGGGATTTTGGTCTGCTTCCACCTGCCCTGTCCAGGGGTGGCTGCACTAGGCCGTTGGGCATCAGCCTCTGCCTTCTAGGGTTGATTCCCGGATTCCCGATGGCAGACACGGAGGCCTAGCCGTGCTCCTTTTTTCTTCTGGTCACAAATAAAAAGCAAAACTTCCCAAGAATTTGGATCTGGATTGGGAGACTAGGGCGAGAGGGACCTGCGCAGGAGCCCCGGAACCAGCTGGGAGAATGTGTTCCTGCTCGCTTCCTCCGGCGTCTGGCACCTCGTGCCCTGGGTGCACCTTTGGCCCCTGCAGCCGTCCCAGTGTCAGCCAAGGTGATGACAACAGGGTTCACCCACTGGGTGGTGACCGACCCTGAAGCCACGGGTTGAGGCCGAGGCACGAAGCGGCCCCCAGCACTGCTTTCTGGGAAATGGGAGAGGCCCACGTCTCAAACCTTGAGGCTTCTTGGAAGGTCGCCAAGCTCCATGAAACCAGACAGAGAGAAGGGACAGCTGGTACGTGGTGGTGCAGGGACAAGTCCAGTCCACTCGAATTCCGTGCACCAGGAAAGTGGGCTGCATCCTGGCCTTTGCCTCCCCTCACTTCCCCAGCCCTGTGGTAAAGCCGCACGCTGCCCCCTGCCCCTCAGCAGCCGGCTTGCAGCCCTGGTGGGCTTGCACGAGCAGCTGAACGTCCCTTGGCTTCCACGTTAAACCCTGTTGAGAGCCGAGTGTAGACCCCGTGACCTAGAGAGCACGCAGAGCTCTCGTTCCGTGCAGGGCCTCTGCCCTGAGGTCAGTGCCGCTGTGGATCTTAGAGCTGCCCTGGAGCTGGGGTCCTTCTTGCCACTCATCTTGAGGCGGGTGGCCCGCCCTCAGCCCCGTCAGAAGGCCTCTTTCAGGGGCTGGTGTTGTGGCACAGTGGGTTAAGCTGTTGCTTGCAACCCCAGCACCCCATAGAGGGCTCCACTTCTAATCCAGCTCCCTGCTGGTGCACCTGGGAAAGCGGCAGAAGATGGGCCACCCCGATGGAGCTCCTCCCTCCTGTCTGCAGCCTGGCAGATCCTCGGCTACTGGAGCCATCTGGGGAGGGAACCAGCAGATGGACCATGTGTCTCTCTCCCTCTCTCCCTTTTAAATAAATGTCTTTCCTAATAATAATAAGGTGTGTTTCAGAAGGATCAAGAACAGACAGATTCACAGTCCATGGACCACAGCCAACCAGTCAGCACACCGTGTTTGGCTGGCACAGTATTTGAAAATAACGCGAGCCAGTATTCAGAACCCTGTCTTTGCCTGAATTTAAGGAGTCAGCAGTCGGCACCTATGTCCCCCATCAGAGTGCTGGAGTCCAGTTCCTGGTTCTGGCTCCCGACTCCAGCTTCCTGCTCAGGTGCATCCTGGGAGACTGCTAGTTCTAGCTCCCAGCCCCAACTGCCGTAGGCATCTATGGAGTGAACTTGCCAATGGGGGCTCTCCTCAAATTTAAATTAAAAAAGGAGGTGCCTGTGTGGCCCAGTGGGTTAAGACAGCTTGGAACACGAGTCCCACATTGTGTGTTAGTTCAAGTCCCGGCTGCTCCCCTTCTGATCCAGCTGTCTGCTAAGGTGCCCAGGAAGGCCATACATGATGGCCCCTGCCACCCACATGGGAGACCCAGATGGAGCTCCTGGCTCCCGGCTTCATCCTGGCCCAATCCTGGCCCAAACCTGGCCGTTGTGGGCATTTGGGGAGTGAACCAACAGATGGAATTCTCTATCTCTCCCTGTTGCCCTGCCTTTCAAATAAGTAATAAATCTTTGGAAAGAAAAAAGCCGCAGCTTGGGACACCTGCCTCCCTTCTCAGCATGTCTGGGCTGAGTCCCTGGTCCACTTTCAAGTCCAGCTTCCTGCGGAGGTGCATAGTGAGCTGCGGCGCCGGCCCCAAATTGTTTTTCAAAACTTGAACTCTTGGCCGGTGCCGCAGCTCAATAGGCTAATCCTCCACCTGCGGCGCTGGCACCCCAGGTTCTAGTCCCTGTTGGGGCGCCGGATTCTGTCCCAGTTGCTCCTCTTCCAGTCCAGCTCTCTTCTATGGCCTGGGAGTGCAGTGGAGGATGGCCCAAGTGCTTGGGCCCTGTACCCGCAGGGGAGACCAGGAGAAGCTCCTGGCTCCTGGCTTCGGATCAGCGCGGTGCGCCAGCTGCAGCGGCCATTGGGGGATGAACCAACGGCAAAGGAAGACCTTTCTCTCTGTCTCTCTCACTGTCCACTCTGCCTGTCAAAAAAAAAAAAAAAAGAGAAAAAAAAAACCTTGAACTTTCATAACTATGTTACTGCCATGGGAGAAGCCAAGTAACATCCACCTTTTATTTTATTTAATTTTTACTTATTTTTATTTATTTGAAAGGTAAAGAGACAGGTAGCTCTTTTTTTTAAGATTTATTTACTTATTTGAAAGGCAGAGTTACAGAGAAGCAGAGA